CAAAATACAAGTCATGCTAGTGGCCGTCGATCTCCGGCGTCGAAAAATGCTGACGATGTCCTCATCACTTGCATAATGAATAGTTTAATATAAAGATGGCATTTAAGTCATTTATTAGACATCTACATGGTGCAACATTAAGGCTTTGAAGTCACTCAAAAAGAAAGCCTTATTTGAAGCATAAATAGAAGCCTATATGAATTATAGTATCTCGTCCATGGTACCAACATTTTGATGAGTTCATGCATCAAATTTTTTTATATGATATAACATAGATCATTGTTGCTACATCAAAGGACTTAGTAAGCATGTATCATCTTACTATTATGTGGATGAAATCTAGAAAACAATAGCAAATCTTTGTGTGATCAATAAAATTAAGCAACAATTTTCATAGGAGATTGATATAAAAGACCGGGGGGTGGGTGGGTATTCTTATGATATAAATTACTCATAGTTGAAAGACAACACATTAAAATGCTACGCATATTTAATATGATAAATATGAAATCAATAGGTTCTCCACAAACAAGCCACTTTAAATTCTGAAAAAATATTCACCTAAGAATAATAGGAACATAATAAATTATATGGCAAAATTTTGTTATGTGTTACTAGTCAATCAGTTGACTAATGCCTCTCTCTTTTTTCTTTTTGACTAATGCCTCTTATGATACACAACATCTACTATAGGCTATACAATAGTAATAAGAAGGTATATGGAAAATCAAGGAAAGATATAATAGGAAGCCATGAAAAAGATCTAGCACTATTTGAAATATCATATTACTACCTCATTGCAAATTAACAAAATTGACATGAAATCACAAGCCTTTGTTTATGCTAATATGGATTGTAATCCTGATCCCTAGAGAAGCACTACAGCATATATTTATACTTCTATCAATATTAATATCGATTTGGTGCGGCAAAATGCAGAAGATAGTAGGCATTATCAACCATAAAAATAAAATATGATGCATAAATTGAGGTTGGCAAGGAAATGAATTGGCTGAGGAATTTCTTGAAACAATTAAGAACAATACATATACAATGACAATGCTTGTTTTTATGATAGTGTTGTACATCTAAAAAGGATGCATCATTTCATTCCAAGGCAAAATATCCTTTATCCAAGGAGTTAAGAAGAAGGAAAGAAAAAAATATAGGATTTGTGAGCCTAATTGCTCATACAGACAATTACAACAAACAAGTTGAGGCTTTACAATATCTCAATTAACGTCCATAGATAATGGCAAGAAGGTTCCACATTTGATTTCTTCAAATTAGTACATCAAAAACTCGGTCCCAACTAAGAGACCGCTAATAATGCTCACATTTTTCGTTATAGGACGAGCATCAATCCGAATCCTGATAAGAATCAAATTCAATGCAGATTATTTTATTAATAAATAAAATTTTAAAAGTATATTACTCTTTTATTTTTTGCATGTGAATAAGTTTTAAAAAAAAAATTATATTGCTATGAAATAGACCTTGCTGCATTATTTATCATATCTTCACTCAAAATCTAAACAAATACTAAAAGAAGTTGAGAGAACCTATTATTCAATGGTAATCTTGTTGGCAAGCTCTATTCCATGTTCTGCTCTTAATAAAAATAAGTTATCAGAATAAATTACTTCAGCTTTTCAAGTAGAAAAGTAAGAAAGTAGATGTATAATAAAACAAAAATAACACAATCCAATTCGGAAAAGAATAAGTATAATAGTTCCACTAGAAAAATAAAATAGATAGCTTGATAGACAGCCTATAATGTATATCAGTGTCAACATGAAGGCTCTTTCTTCAATAGTAATCAATGAAAAAGATAGAAAATAGCTTAACAAAAACAAAACATTATTAATATAGATAAAAAAGCAATAAAAACCAAAATTCACAGTGATTGATACAACCATGAATATAGCAATATGAAAACATGTGATAGAAGATATATAGGCAACTAGAATATGGTGCTTATTAGCTTCATGCATCTTTCAAATGACCAATCGGTAGTACAATACCTTCGCATTGTAATATGGACTAATATGCAATTGTCAACTCAAAACCGCTCATGTTAAGAGGCAAGATATTAGGAAACCAAATTTAATTTCAATTTCAATGTAGAAACTAACTAATTTTCGCTCCTATGTTGTTGACCTATGTGTAAAAAAAAAAAAGAGAACTCCCGCATACCTTGTTTATGTCAAGGTCTCGCAAATCCCTCCAGAATATCTGCTCAAATCCAACAAGAAAGCCGGTGCTACAGTACCCGTACCCTGCATTCGGCGCCGTTTCAGAGCTTTTTTTTTTTTTTTTCAGAGCTGATCGTGCGTAAATGTGCTTCGATCGTCGCCTCTCAAAGTCTATAAAATGGGAAACGAAGCTTGAGAGTTAGGTTCTACTTCCTCCCATACGACATACAAACTCCCCCATTCGCTACTTTCCTCCAATCTTCTGAACTCCAACACGCCGATCTAGCCCTAGCTGACGCCTCGACCTCTCTATTTCATTCTAATTCCCTCGGTAGAGAGAGAGCGAGCGAGCGAGAGAGAGCGAGCGAGCGAGAGAGAGAGAGAGAGAGAGAGAGAGAGAGAGAGAGAGAGAGAAATATAGGGATAGAGATTTCTCCTTACCTCTACCGATGCCTCATCCACGATTCCTCTACCCGACGCTTCCTTACCTCTATAAGATGGTGGTGCGGCCTGCAATGCTTTATGGCCCATAATGTTGGTCATTAAAAGAGAAGCATAATATTAAGTTAAGTTTTGCAGAGATGAGCATGATCAGGTGGATGAGTGGCTATACTCTTAGAGATATGATACGAAACAAACATATATATGAAAAGGTTGGAGTAGCTCCAGTGGCAAATAAGATTAGAGAGAGTCGCCTTAGATGGTTTGGTCACATAAAACAATGACCTTCTGTTGACCGGGTTAGTAGAGTAGTGGTATTAGATTTGGCCTATGTTAAGAAAGGTGGAGGTAGACCTAAAGAATTGGTTAAAAAATATTAGAAATGACATTTTTGTATTAGATTTAAATGAAAAATTGACTCTTAAAAGGACACAAAGGAGAAAAAAGATTTATGTAGTCGTCCCCACAGTGGGATAAGGGCTTGATGTTGTTGTTGTAGAACATATGCAATGACAAGTGAATTTCAACTCTATTAACAATTAATGCATTAATTATAGTTATACAAAAATTTCATATTTTACATATGTATGATTCACTACAAAAATCAAGCAAATAACATCAACATTATTAGAAATAATGCTGGCAATTTTAAGTCAATAAAATTGTTGGGTTCTTATATAAATCCAATAACCTGATGGTTCCCCCTTCCCCTTCTCATTTTTGCACAAGCCTTACTCTAACGATTTTTGGCCACTAACTCTCCTGCTTGGCTTTATTCAGCCTACAGACCCCCTCCTCTATGGAGTGAAAACCCATGTAAACTTTCAACCACCCATAATACTCTTTGTCACTGTAAACAAGCTTCTCTGCAAACTTCTCCACTCTTCTAATAGGAATTTGATCTCCACAAAAGCAGCAATAACCAAGAAAAAATGCAGCAAAAATCAGCAAAAAAGATGATATTATAAGCTAATTTTATTGATATCGGCACAACAAACCAAGATACAAGTTAATCTATGATTCGAGAGGTAAATCGACTCTCCACATACCCTAGGCATTTTTAGGAACAACTCCAAAGAAAATTACTACAAAACACAAAATCACATCATGAAAATAAAATAACCTAATTAATTCTAAATAAACCTTCCTAATTCCCTACCAAATCTGAATTCAAATCAACCAACTTTCCCTAAATAAACTTTCCTAACCGCCTCCCAAATCTGAATATAAATCATTCATTTTTCTCTAAATAAACCTTACAAATTCCCTCCAAATTTTGATTTTCTATGGTAAATATTTAAAGGTAAAATTAATCCCTTTTGAGCCTCCCACTCTCCTTGCCCACTGCCTACACTAGTGAGGCCGACAAGGTTCCTCCGACAATTAGCTACATCGCCCCCTCCTCCTCTCAGCCAGTCCATCAACACTTGCCTCCTATAGAGCCACATTGTCCTCAAGGTAATACGAAGGAAACTATTGTTAAATCATCCGATACGATTCCATGTCGCTTCATACTCGAGTAGATCCTTCTACTCGATCAGCACTTCTCTAGCTCCTCTGGTTGTCGAGCGAACTCCTCTCACTTCCATTGGTTCTAGGATCACCTCCATTTCTTCTGTCAAGGTCATCGGCAGTGTCGCTAATGGATTGTGGTTGCTAGTAAATTTTCTCAGATAGGACACATGGAATAATGGGTGTATGGAGGCCAAAAACGATACACCACGGCACCAATGCTCTCCACAACCTCATAAGACTCATAGTGCCATAGAGATAACTTTTCATATCTTCTTCGAGCTAAAGTCTTCTGTCTATATGGTCGAATCTTCAAATACATCTTACACCCACCTCAAATTATACATCCCTTTTATGCCCGCCCACCTGCTTCTTCATAATTTGGTGTATCCTCGATAGGTGCCCCTTAGCCTCTCAAAATGTCCTATCATGTTCATCCAACTACTATTCCACTGACAAAACTAGAGTGCTCTTGGTCCCGTAGTATACCAGGTGAGGAGAGTCTCTAACATAAAAGATTTTGAAGGGTGTAGTATGTGTTACTATGGTAGGATGTATTGTGCCAGTACTCGGCCCAAGGTAACCACTTCACCCAGGTCTTGGGTGCTTCTGATGCAAACCATCTCAAATAAGCTTCCCCACTCATGTTCATCACCTCGATTTTCCCATCAATTTGTGGATGATATGTTGTACTTCTCCTCAAAATGGTCCCCTGCATCCAAAACAGCTCTCTCCAAAAGTGGCTCAAGAACACCTCTCACTATTGTAGGAGTGACTAAATCATGTCTGGTACTTCTATCTTCTCCCCATCCTCTTCTCCTTCCAAACTCTACAGTTCCACCAAAAATCTAACTCAGTCACCCCTGGATTTCCCTCACCATGGTTTTGAGTGAAACCATAATTTTGGACAGGCTAGAATCTCCTACAATAACCACTCTCCTCTCCTTAACCTTGAACTCCATCATTAGAGCCTTCCAATCAATCATGGTCTTCCCTAACATTTGTAGCCACTTCATTCCCAATATCACATTTGTGTCCTCAAACTAATGGCAAAAACTCTTCTAATACCTGAATCTCTGAAGGATTAGGATCACCCCTTTGCAAATTCCTCTACTCCTCTCTACTTTTCCTATTCCCAACATAACCCCAAAGCCCCTTATGTCCATGAATTCTAGTCCCAACTAATCCATGATCCTGTTGAAAATCAAGTTATAAGTAGCTCCACTATCCACCAGTACTACTACCTCCTAATGCCTAATCTTCCCCTTAACCTTCATGGTTTGGTTCGGTGTGAACTCAACCATTGCGTTAAGAGATACATGTACAACATATATGTGCAGGTGATCATCTTCCTCCTCTACTTCCTCCTCTGCAGTATCTTCATCCTCATTGTAGACTGTTAGGACATATAACACACGGTCCTTACAACGATGGGCCGGAGCGAACTTCTCATCGTACCGAAAGCATAAATTCTTGGCCATCTTCTCATGAATCTCTAACTCAGTCAACCTCTTAAAGTTCCCCCTTGATCATACTCCCTAACCTTTATTCCTTAGGGCTTCCTTCTAAATAGACATTGTCTGCACCTTTGGTGCAAGAAATGTTGTGAATATGCGATAGGAGACTCCTGAACTGCTACTACGACTACTCCTCTCCAAAGAGTTCTTCTCCTCCACCAATTGGGCTAGCTCCATCGCCTCCCCTAAGCCATGTTATCTTAGTGCTCGAACAAACTTCTCGAATATCAGGCTTGAGCCCCATCATAAAATTCCCCTCTAATACAGTCTCTAACAACCTTCCCAATCAGCTTAAGAAATACTCAAACTTCACCTAGTATTCTATCATCGTCCCCTCTTGAACCAGAGCAAAGAATTGTTCATAGAAGTCACTAGTTCGAAAATGTTCTAGTAGACATTCTTTGAACTCCCTCCATGATCGGATCGGATCTCGCAAGTCTCTTCATTGATACCAGGACAAAGCCTTCCTCTATAAACATAGAGCGGCTGCAATGAGTTTTTCATCTTCTCTCAACCCATTTACAACAAAATATCGCTCAACTAGAAAAATCCATCCGTGAGTATTTTCTCTCTCAAAAACCAACATTTTCAACTTTCTCACCCTAGGATTGTCACCGCCCCAATTGCTTTTTCCTCCTGCAGTGTAGCGGGTGTTGTAATCACTGCATGTTTCCCTCTCCCCCAAATCAGCTTTCCGATCTTCATCATCCCAATTTCTTCGCCAGTCATACCCTTCATTGGTTCCCCTCAGAAGTGGCTCTAAAGATGGCATATCCTCTTCTTCCCTCAAAACTTCTACCTCATGATCCCCCTAATCATCCCTATATTAGGGTTTTCTCCACTTCCTTGTTTGATCAATGGTGCCTTTGACTCTGATGACGACGTCTTAGCTTGAAAATATAACATCCTTTCATCATCTCTTCCAAATTCAAAAAATTGCTCTCAATTAATGAAATTCACTCTTTGAATTTAGAGTTTAGATTTCCTTCTCCATCAAGCCTCTCCTCCAACGCATCAACCTTCTTAGCCGCCATAAGTCCAAAAAAACATGCTCTGATACCAATTTGATAGGAATTTGATTTCCACACAATAACAAGAAAAAACACCCAAAAAATAACAATAACAAGAGAAAACACAGCAGAAATCAATGAGAAAGAATGATATTCTAGGCTAATCTTATTGATGTCGGCATAACAAACCAAGATACAAGTTAATCTACTATTCGAGATGTAAATCAACAATCCCCAAATCCTAGGCGCCGCTAGGAACAACTCGAAAGAAAATTACTGCAAAATACAAAATCATATAATGAAAATAAAACCACCTAATTAATCCTAAATAAATCTTTCTAATTCTCTCCCAAATCTGAATTCAAATCAGCCCTCTTTTCCTAATGAAAACTTCTTGATTCCCTCCCAATTTTGATTTTCTATGGTAAATAATTAAAGGTAGAATTAATCTCCTTTGAGCCTCCCTACCACCTTGTCCACCGCCCACACTAGTGAGGCCAACATGGCTCTTCCACCCACCAGCTAAACCGCCCAAGCTTGGACAACAACTTTCTTGCTTGCTCGAAAGAGGAAAAGCAAGAAGGTAATGAGCCATTTTGGCTTTTAGAGAAAAGAAAAGAAAATTGAGGAGAAAATCTGTAAAAAAATACAGGTAATTAAAATTTCCAACAAAATTTTATTTTATATTTAATGTTTAAGTTAGAATTAAAATTACTATTAACAGTAATGAATTTAAATTATAACTATTGTTTAATTTATATTCCTATGTTATTAATAATAACTAATATTTTAAATTAAATTTTCCTAATTCCTGAAGAGTTGCATGCAAAGGTCGGTTAGATCAATTACTAATTTTAATCTAATGGTTATGATGAATTCAGTTAAATTGAATTCACTTACATGTGGGTCACCCTTTCCCTTACTAATTGAATGGACATGCAAACTAGGTAAGAGGGAGCGTGAAATAGAGGTGAAGCGGAATCAGTGGGAGTGGACTGGAAGGCCTTGGAGAGGAATTTTGTTACTTTGTGAGAGCAATTCCAGTGAGAGAATTTTGATGTGTGAAGCAGGATTGGCATAGTGCAACAGAGATCGGTACTGTGGGGCTGGAAGGGCTCGGCACAGTGCAGGGATTAGCGGCAAAGGAAATACAATGAGAACAGTGCAGTGTGAGAGTGCCATTGCATTGAGAGAATAATAGTGAGCAATTGATTTTAGAAAATAGTGATTGTGTTAGAGTAAGTAGTGAGAAAGAAAGAATTTAAAGTAAGTAAATTATTTTTTATTCAGTATTATTGTTGTCTTGTAGATTTTCTAATATTAATAAAAGCTTTTAAAAGAAAAGTAAATCAATTGTATAGGAATTACCTAATTATATGCAAAAGAAGGTTTTGAGGTGATTTATAATCACAGAGTATGAAGTAAAAAATTAGATGAGACACCTCGGCAAGGAGGTAAGTAATGCAATTATATTTCAAATATAATGACTTTCATTTATAAGTATTGTGGTTAATTTTTAATGCATTAAAGTAAAATGATATTAAATTGTTTAATGTATATAAAGGTTTTTGCATCCAAGTTTTCAAGTATGAATAACCATATATATAATTTAAATATGTGAGTTCAAAATAAGATTTTGTATGTTAATCTAAATGTTTTCCTATTTGAATGTTTTAGAAATATGTCAATTTCCTTGTATATTGTATGCATATTAATTATATATAAACTATAACATAAATGATTAGGAAAGCATACACCAACATAAGTATGACTTACTAATACTAGAAAGTTTAGTGAATATCAATTTAAAGTAAAGTTTGGTTATAAATGATGTATAACTTATAAGTGTAGGTGGGGCAAAATATAACAAGCTCACGTAATCCATTTTAAAATATAACATCTCGATCACCAAATTTTGTGATCAAAGATTTTTCATGCATGTGGACTCAACACTCATCAAACGACATCCAATCATAGCACGAAGGGGCTCATTTGAACTGACTCAACTATTTGGATATGCTCACGCAGTTCGTTACTCAAACTAATGTATCGATCTCAAATTTTTTACGTGATTGAAGATTTTCATGTAAGAAAGAGCACACGATCAAATTTCTCGCAAAATTTTCAAGATCTCAGCTTCCCACTAGCTACATGCGCAACTATATATGAAGATGAATGTGATGATGCTTGCAAAACTCTTATTCGGAGCCCGAGACAATGCAACGTAACACGAAATATAGTGTGATATCATGTAACCTATAACTCAATCCCACAACTAACTAAAAACTAGTTATGGACGAACTAATCAAATGGAAATATTCTATGTGCACCAAATACAAACACACTCGATCCAACGTATATCACCATCATCACAATGCCACCGTCGCTTCTTCTCCTCCAACACATTTTCTCTAGCTGTTAGAAACCCATTTCCTTGTTATTAGTATGGGAGAGAAAAGAAAGCAAATCATTGTAATGACAATTCTAATGAAGCCCTTCAAAGCGATGAGAGTGAGAGAGACTTTTGAATTCATAAATTATAATGTTAGATTTCTTGTTTATGTTGAACTGAGAGACTATTTATTTAGCTTTGTTTGTATCTTTCGATGAATTTTAGTAGTCTTACTTTAACTTTTTTATGATCTTGTTTTGGCATATTACTTTAATGTTAGAATGTTATTGGTTATTTTATATTTTTAATTATATTAATGGTTAATTCTGAGGTTTACACATCAAAATGGCTTGAGGCTTGTGTCTCTCCTTACGAAAAGAAAACGCCTCCATACCCTTTTGCACAATTTCAAACATTACTATAAAATGAGTATAAAATACAAGAAAAGCCACTCATCTTTTTAATATAACCTTGTTTCATAATAATAAATGAGATTCAAATGCATTTTCAGAGAAAATTAGTAGTCACCATACTTATCAATGGTGAATAGCATATCATATCATAGTACAAAGTTTTCCATGGAGCCATAATGCATAGCGCAAAGCGCGACACGTGCTATTTTAAATATAATGTAAAACATTAAAAAAATGAAAAAAGACTATTAAATTGAATATGAATATCCATGATAATAAAAATAATATTAAATGGTATATATAGAAAATTTTTTAACAGCAAAATACAGCTTAAGAGATTGAAATTTTTGTCATGTAGCAAATTTCATACTACAATATGTAAATAACAAATTCAGCGACATAGACGAGAATAGATGCCTTCATCAAAGCCTTTCTACTTTGTCATTTGGTGAAAACAAGAGTGTGCGACATGAGACATTGAATAAGAGAGAGATGCCTGAATGTGTAGGTTGTGGTGCTTGTGAGCAAGATTGATGAAGCAGATAGCTATGGCCTGCAACAGGGTTGCAAAACAAACAAGAAGGATGAAAGAGAGGGACATTGCAAGCTTATGATGATTGAAAACTCACTAACTTTGGTACTCACTAGTTGTTTTGCAAGCTTATGATGATGAAAAGTTTCTCATTTTCAATCAGTCCAGCAAATTTAGAAATAATATCCAAAGTAGATAGTGAGTATCAAACCTTGTCTAGAGGCTGCTTGGTATCCTATTTTAGGCAAAATTTAAGCACAAATTAGCTTAAATCCTTCCAAACATAAATTTTTGGACTTTAAGTCATATTGTTTTACTAAATTTGGTTGAACATAAGAGTTGTTAGAGCCCACCATTCACGCAAGATTTGACAAATTTAAGGATTTCTCCCTCTCACAAATCTTAAATCAGAAAACAATCCTCAAATATTTTATAAATATTTAACAAGATTTATTTCCATGCTAAACAGCTTTCAAATTGTAATACTCTTAAGATATATTCAATCAGATTATACAAGATTTATTAATCCTACATGAGTTAAATCCAACTTGTAACCAAAAGCACAATCAAGTATTAACTATTAAGATAAAGGAATTTTCATCTCTTCAAGTGCCCGGCAATACTGAAGCAGTTGAAAACAAGTTAAGATTCTAACCATAGGTGGCGGTGATTCCATTCTCATGATTCAATGCTCAAAATCTCGTCTACTTAGCTGCTAGGCGCACCATTACTACTCTACCTTCCTTTAGTTTTTTTGTATTTTCTCGAGACAGCCACAAGAGATTCAGGAAATAAGAACAAGATTAAGAAAACGTGGCAATTGGAAGTCTGGGAGAAGTTAAAGAAGAGACATTTTCTTAAGTTCTTGCCAATGGCCTCACCTCGTTTCAATGGAAGAAAACCTTGGTCCCATGTATCAGAAGAAAGAAGACAGTGAAAATATGTAGAAAGAGCTCAGTGAGAAGGAACCCTAGTTACAGAATAAACGAGGTGACACAACTATTTGCTGAATTTCAAAATCGCTCAGCAAATAACGTGCTCAATACAGCTAAACCCTAAAAAATGTCGAAGCCTGACACAACTATTTACAGAGAACAGCAATGATAAATCCGATTTGGCGCAGAAAAGAAGTAGATAACAATAAAAATAGATCTTTTCATCCAATATTCTAATAAACTGGAATTCATTTAACTTACAGTGGTAAATGTCTGAGAAGAAAACCCTAGACGCTCGAACGGTCGAACCAATATTGAAGACAAGAGGATCGGCAATGGTAAGGGGAGCAAAACAAAAATCAGTCATTTTGGAGGGAATTGCAGAAGAGGCCGACAGATTTTATTAACTATTGTGGCGGATTTGCCCTCCTCGTTTGGAGAAAATAACGGATTATGTCTGTTGGTCAACGGAATGAGATTAATTTGCATGTTCTCGCATTAAAAGGTTGGATTTGAGGTATGTTTAACAAAATAATGTAAGCAATATATCCTTACTTGGAGCAAAGGAAGCAATAACAAATTTTTTACACAATTAACTCTAATTTTTTTAATTACCTTTAATTATATCATCATAATAGCTAATAATTGCATATTTTGCTAAAGCATTTTTATATAATTAAAGTGCAAGGTTTTTTTCGCAATAGAATTGGAGTATATTTTGGTCAACTTTCGCATCATATTATTTTTCAGATTGTTGTCATGCATCCATTTGACTAATATTTTCTTACTATTTTTTCATAAAGTCTTATGCTAAGAATTTGCTTATGAGAATCAGGTCTCCTAAAGTATGATAAGTCTGTAAGAAAGCTACTACATAATATACCACATCAAAGTACATGAAAATAAAACTATAAAATAAAAAGTATATGATAGAAATAAAAAATATAAGCAAGTTAGAAAAGTTCAAGCAGACAAACTAGTAAGAGTTGACACAAATATAAAAATAAAAATAGAAAATATAACTAACAAAAATAATAAAGTATAGAAAGATTAGCTAAATGGATATAGAAAGTGGCACATGTAGACCGTAAGCTATATTACTTGGCTATGAAATTTATCATTTCATTAGGTTTATGAGGCCTCCTCAATGCAGCGACTCACAAATCAAGAATAGTGTATATCTTGCTTTAGGTTTATGATGGCTTGCACCCTAAATGTTCTTGTAAGTCCCACTATGGGTAGCCCTTTGTAGTTAGAACCCAAAAATTAAAAATAGCAGGGGCCTTCTCCCGTAATGTGTTATGTTTGGATTTTTTTTCTCAGAAGGCTTTTCCTTCATTGCAACCCTTTTCGTGGCCTCAGGTGTCTCTTCTCAGCTCAGGGAAGTTTCTTGGCCTTAGTCATTGTGTTGTCTGTAATTTTTGGGTTCTATTTTGGTTGATTTTGTAGTCATTGTCTATTTTTGGTAGATTGAGGGCAAATGCCTGGTAGATCCCCATTTTTTTTTGCTGGCAAAACCTCTTCTATGTCATTTTGTGATGCATTACTTGGTAGCTCTTCTTCTTCGCTTTTCCCGGACCTCAAAATCTCTTCTCATCATGGGATGCCCTCATTGTGGATTTCGAAAGATGAAATTCTAGCTCTCGTGGCTCCTTTTGAGTTCACTTTGGTCGGCAAATTTCCTTCTCGTAGACCTACGCTTGAGGCTATTCGCAATTTCTTTTCAACCTCAAGCTCAATGGTGAATTTTTTATTACTGTTCTAAATCCTACGCATGAGTTAATCAAACTTGTTAACGACTTGGACTACTATCATGTGTTTTCTCACCACTCCTATTTTGTGAACAACTGCTTCATGAAGGCGTTTAAGTGGACTCATACATTTGGTTTTGAAATTGAATCGTCCATTATTCCTTCTTGGGTTCATTTCCTAACCTATTGGTTATTTTCTCTTAGGATTCTTTATGGGCTTGGTTCCATGTTTGGTCGTCCTCTTCAAATTGATCATGCAACATCCACTAGCTCTAGACCTTCAGTTGTGCTTTGTCCTAATGGAATTAGATGTTACCAAAAAATTTCCAGATAAGGTGTGGGTTGGTTTGGATAACTTGGTGATGCAAACATCTGATGATGGACATTAATCAAAGGAAGAGACGAAGATCGACGGCTTATATCCCTCTATTTTATCTTAGTTTATTAATTATATTTTTTATTTAATTATACATTTTTTATTTTTACCCTTACTTAAGGGTCTTTTCTTATGTAATCCCAAGGGACAAAGTTGTCTTTTTAGTTTCCTTTAAGGCCTAAACATATAAGCCCTTGCTCTTGTATTAGACAATGATAGATTAATAAAAATATTATTTCTACACTTTGTTCTTGAGAGCTATGGGAGTTCTTAGGAAAGTGGAAGTCTCTATATGAGGGCAATGAAATACCCACCAACCACAGCATGTGTCTAGGCTTATGGTTGAAGTCCCTAGGTGAGGGCATCGCAATCACCCGTCAGCCACAGGATATGTCCGGGCTCACAATTTATCTTATTTCCCTATCTCCTTCCCTCTCTATTTTCTCCCCTTATTCCAACTCTTTGCCACCACCTTCCCCTTCTCTCTACTATTGGCTCCAATCCCCTCACCACCAACAGCAAATGCCCAATATTCTAACATTAAATGCACTTCAACCCTTGGTATTCCCAAGCATAATTAATGTGGAAATCAATTTGGATTTTCATTTAATTTATGGGATTTCTAAACCACCTTTCCATCTTCCCAAGCAACCCTCATTAAGTTTCAACTTTTCCCCTTCCAAAGCTAAATATTAATTCCCCACTTACCCATGCATAATTAATTACAATTCAAAGCTTGCAATTAATTAGTCAAATTTCCCTTAATTACTTTTTCCTAATCCCTAGCCTACCCACTTCTCTTCCTATGTGTTGCCATTAATTCCCAAGCAATTCCCTAAGCTCCACTTAATTAATTGGTCAAACTTCTCTTAATTACTTTTCCCTAATCCCTAGCCTACCCACTCCTCTTCCCATGTGTTGCCATTTATTCCCAATCAATTCCCTAAGCTCCACTTAATGTCACTTTGACTACCTTCCCCTTTCCCAAGCTGGTCAACACGTTCCCATTCCCTCTTCCACTTCATTTCTTCTCCAAGTGACTACTTTTCTCTCCTATATCAGCAATACTCAAAAGAGAAAATAGTGAGCATTCACATTTAAATTCAATCAACATCAATGAGGAATCCCATAGAAATTTGAGAGCATTTTTGCAAGAGAAGCAAGTATATGAAGATAGCCATCAAGGAGCCCAACTACATTCTCTTTGTAGTACTTGATTATTCAGTCCTGCAACACTTGGGTTATATTCAATTGGTGGTTATGCAGGCATTTTCCTCCTATTATTCTCATTATAAGTCTTTAGGGCACTCAAAATTAGAATGTAATATCCTTCATCCCCATTTGGCTAAAGCCCTACTATTTTGAATAATGTGGATGAAATAATTCCTATAGTTTCTGAGCATGTTAGTGATTCACTTGTTATTGATGCTAATGGTCATCGGCCTATTTCTGAGGTGGGGCATTTGGTGATGTCTGATCTAGGTGTTGCCAATGTCCCCTTCAGGATCTATAGTTATTTTGGACCCTTCTACGACTTATCTGGAGGGGGCTCTTGTGCCTATAGGTTGCTCCCTATTTGTTTCACCTATTATTATTAAGAAGTCTTTTAATAGTTTTGGTTTTGGTGATAATCAGGTGGAGGTTTTGTTGGGTTAATGTGAAGTTAATAAGGTGATGGTTGTTCAATCCTCTAAGTTGGGTATTACATCTGAAACTTCTCCGTTAACTGTTTTGGATATGCCATTATATGCGCTTAAGCTTGCGCACTTTGTTGATGTACCAGTCTCTCTAATTTTAAATGATGCATTGAAAGCTCGTATGGCTAGATAGTTGATAGGCTTCTCTATTGATCATTCTGATTCGATGGATGCATCCTCTAATAGTGGGGGAGGGGTGGGGGTTATTTTGGATGATATGCCTGACAAGTTTCATGAATTATTTAGGCGGGTCATTTTGTTAATAAAACTTTCTCCCTTGGTAGTGGAAGGTGTGGACCTCCGAAAGGACACCGCTACGGCTGCAGGATTGCAGGGGGTATACGACTGCACCTACCCCGAGGGATAGAGATGATCGCAGGCCTCCACGCTCCTCGGAAACGGTGGCGTACGACTAACCATTGAGAATAGTGTCTCTCGCTAGCGCACCCCGATGGGTAGCAATATACACGACCTGATCAAAATAATGGGTTTCCCCCACTCGATACATCATCTCAAAGTGGGGTTTATTAGATGGTGAAATTCAAACTGTGGTCAATTACATCTCAAGAAGAGCCCAAGAAGATTCTCAATTATGGATCATACATTATCTCTTCATATGGGATTAACATATAGGGCTAAGACTAGGAAATCCTACTAAAAAGGAAAGAAAGGGCTCAAATGGCTCAGTCAACATGTGTGGTTCACACCAGCATTCGGAGGGGCTAAGGAAGTAGGAAGAAATTGGAGAAAAAAAATCAAGCATTCAATACATGCATGAGAGAAAGATAAAAGTGGCGTTATCTATGTGATGCAGATAAGCAGGATTTATAATCTCTGAAGAGAAAAAACTTACCCATTATTTAGGTATACTACGAGACCAAATGTAGTAGCCTTGAATCCTAAATCTAAGTTGGGTTTAGTGTTCTACGAACAACACTGACACCCGTATCCTAACTAATGCAGTGCAAAACCTGGACTTACCTTGACCTAGATTTAGGAGCCAGCTAACCACCTAATCGATTTAAAACTATGCTGTCAGGTCATTTATGAAAGATGGATGGGTGATTTAGTTTTTGGAAGTAGAGCCGATGTCTAGAGAGTTTCCTAATTGGCCTTGTACTTATGTAGGTTGAATGATCCTAGCTAATACAATTAAATTTTAATTAAATGAGCTTCTAATGCAATGCATGCTAGTTAAAAGGTCTGAATTATGTATGCTTTAGATTTTAAAAATAAGCTTATATAAAAATAATTTTTAGAAGGAGACTAGACTTCCCTAGGTCTGGCACCTCATCCTCATAGGCCAGATTATTCTGATTTATCCGTAGGCAGGAAAGTGTCTCATAGAAGAAGAAAGATAAATATAATAATATGCATGTGACCCCAGATGACTCTAGTAATTTTCTAGATTTGTTAAGTTTCTATGTTATTTAAATCCTAAAATTTTAAATATTGGTTATGAGTAGAAATAATTTTTTAGTCCTTATACAGCCTAACGAGATCTAGACTAAAATAAAAAAAACTACATGCAAATCGCCAATAAACTAGAAAAAATAGGCAACCATAGAGGCAATCAATATAAATCAAACACATCCATAGAATCAAAATAAATTAATAAATGTTCATAGGCCAACTATCCTAAATTATAAACCA